ATATATGAGAATCTAGTCAACTAAAGGTTAAAGCTAAACTGATACTAGATAAAGGGCAACGGAATTCACGGGGGAGGGGGTGGACTTGAGTCTCTTGTGGCAATGCAATGACTCCAAACTGATGACATATTTAACTCTGCCTTCCAGCTCAGTCTGTCCTTCTCCTACACCTTTTTATTTATAACAAGACTATGAATGATGTGACACTTCAGCTTCCCCTTTTCAGTCCCCAGAAACAGATGACCCCAGAATAAGTGCAATCAAACTTTGGACCACTTTTGGAAATATTGATTCAATCTCTCAAAAGCAGATTCTTTCGGACCTAATCTTTTACATGGAGCAGAAAACTTGATGTTCTCAGACCAACAGGAAATGCTCACTGCTGATTTACGATAACTCTGTTCTTGCAGACAGAAGAGATTATGTTTAATTGCATTTTAATGCCAATTTCTAGTAGCTAGATTATAGAACAAATCTATGCCATAAATATAAAGAATAAAAAGTCTGTAAGAGGTCTTGATTCTGAGAAATCTTATAATTAACAAACCAACCAGTATTATCTAGATGCTTGATATAGTGAATTGTAAATTGTGATTTATGAAATTGTAACATAGCTGAAATGATTTGAACAAGAACAGATATTTAGTGATATTAATTTCCAACAACTTAGTAGGATTTCTAAATTTTGTGACAGAACTTGAGACTCTTTAATAATGGCTCAAGCAGCAGGAATTTAGTATATGAAGTTCTTGTTTGGAAAAAAATACTTTCAATTTTTTTTTTGCCTATCAATTTATTACCGTAATGATCTATTTTTAAATGTTCAGATTAGAAGATGGCCTAGAACAGTGATGGTGAACCTATGGCACATGTGCCAGAGTTGGCACGCAGTGGCCCCTCTGTGGGCATGCAAGCTGTCGCCCCAGCTTGGCTCCACTGCGCATGTGTGCGTGCCTCCCGCTAGCCAGCTGGTCTTCGGGTCTCTGCTGTGCATGCATGGGGGGCGGGGCACATGTGGGAGGTGCATGCGCATGCATGGGGGCGGGACGCATGTGGGGGGTGCATGCGCATGCATGGGGGCAGGACACATGCGCAGGGGCCACACGTGCATTGTATTTTGTGGGTTTGCGTGTGTGCTTTGGGCAGGTTAGCCATCACTGGCCTAGAACATATGTGGAAAGATAGATTAGAAATATATAAAAACATATTTTTCTTTCCCTTAGCTTTATAAGAACAGGAGGCCTACAGCATTTAGTCACACTATATGGTCAGTGGTGGGTTGCTACCGGTTTGCCCCGGATCGGGCGAACTGGTAGCGGTAGCGGCGGAGGCCCCGCCCACCCCTCTGGATGTCTCTGAGCATGTGCAGAGGCTTCTGCGCATGCACAGAAGCATCACACGCATGCGTCAGTGCGCGCGCACCCACGAGCAAACCAGTAGGGACTGAAATTGAAACCCACTACTGTATATGGTGACTATGAGGAACATGAAAGAGTCATTCTTTATGCTAGAACCAGAGACTTAGTTCATGATGGGGATAGAGAAGTGCTTTTTTCTTCACTAATATTTTTGTTTGCAATATATAAACTGTTTGTGAATACAGAAATAATATTTAAATAATTCGGATAACAACCATTCAAAATCAAAATCTCTAACATAGAGAAAAGAAATAGAAGTTAAGCTGAAATTTAACATTCTGAAAGTTTATGATGACAGTTTTTGATTAAATGTCATTTGTCTGAATTACATTGGCAAAGTATGTTAATTTTATAAGCATATAAGTATGAAATTCCAGTATTTCCTCTACTAGTCTGAAAATATAGTGGTTTCAATGTGTGTGCTTATGTGCATGCTATTGTCATAGGTGAAAAATGCAATAATAAAATACAGGATTGGAAATCCAACTCTTTTGTTCTACTATATAATGATGTTATAGATTAGAATTTATTACCAAGATTCCCTTTAGGCTGCAGTGATTTAAAATAACTATGTCATGGCTGCCTTCATCTGAGAAAATTTAATGTTAACCATATATCAGCTCTGGATAACACTAGAATTGAAGTTGAGCAAACTGTTTTTAACCATTTTAGCAGTCTCATTTCCTTTGCTCATTGTAGGCCTTTTAAATTCCATCTTCCCATTAGGTTAATGTGATTACTGAACAGGTATGTATATCTTATGCCTACGTTGAGTTGCCTTGCATGATACATGCTTAGTTGGAAGAAAGAATTACTGGATTCAGTTGGACCTATTTCTGAAAAAAGACAGATTCTTAGTTTATTATGGTAATGGTTAATTATATGTGTACAGCAGTGGTCGGATTCAAAATTTTTTACTACAGGTTCTGTGGTTGTGGCTTGGTGAGCTTGGCATGGCTTGGTGGGTGTGCTTGGTGGGCTTGACAGGGGAAGAATATTGTAAAATCTCCATTCCCACCCCACTCCAGGGGAAGGTTACTGCAAAATCTCTATTCCCTCCCCACTCCAGGGGAAGGTTACTGCAAAATCCCCATTTCCTCCTGATCAGCAGGAACTCAGGAGGAAGAGAATAGAAGGGGGTGGGGCGAGTCAGAGGTGGAATTTACCGGTTCTCCGAACTACTCAAAATTTCCACTACCGGTTCTCTAGAACTCGTCAGAACATGCTGAAACCCACCTCTGGTGTACAGTATATAATCTTTGCTTATGTTTACAAAATGCAGAAAACAAATTATGTGTTCAGAAATCATATTTAATAAATCCCAAATGTATTATGGATTAACTGCAAAGGAAATATATTCTCTCACATAGTATGGTTGTTTTTCATTTTTTTGGAGATAAGGAAATCTTTTCTCTAAAAAGTATTTTGTAGTGTCTGTGATAATTCATGTCTCGCCTTTATTTTTTTAAAAAACCTTTTTAAAAAAATGATTAAGCTGACATCTTGCACAGGAAACCACCAGTCTCCAACATGTATGCATTTCTAAATTGCTCTCTATAATTGGATAGCCACAGTATTTCCACTAGGCTCTTTTGTAGGCCAGGAGAGACCCAGGAATGGGGGTTTAACATTATAACTTTGATTTGTGAGGAGGGGGAGGGGGTGAGTAATTAACCAAGCAAGGATTGTTATTCAGGGAAGCTGGAGAAAAAGTGAACAGTTCTGGGGGAAAAAAAATCAACAAGGAATGAAGTTTTGGAATATATGGACTGGTGGGGCAAAGCAGGAAGGCCAAAAAAAAAAAAAAATCCCCTTAAAAAATTATATACGTGGGGATACCCAGAGAAAGTTTCTCACACATCTTAGTCAGGATTGTGTATAACTATTTCTGAAGGTGTAAGACAGATAGTTGAGAGTATTCAGTGGCCTCAAAGAATGTTAGTGTGGGGAAGAAATACACTCCTCCTTAACAGGAATGGAGAAGAATAATATGCAACATAAAGTATGGGAAAGTAACACCTACCAGATCTAATGGTGTGACATTATGGTGATAGTTCCTCTTGACTCATAGAAACCACATAAGCATCCTTAATTAAAAAAGAAGAAGAGGACCGACTGCTATGCCAGTGTGTTTCAAACGAGCTGTGGTAGGAAGTAGCGCTATGCAAAGCATTCACAAAGCTTGTTGTCGCAATGAAAACCCTCCTCAATCTGTTGAGGCAATCTCTGTGATGCTGCTTTGAGGATTTTCTAGGTTGTTACCACTGTGGGTATGAACAGCTGCTTTGTTTTGCTGGCAAGGCCGAGGGAAAATTATGTCTGTGCATCAGATGTGCAGAGAACCTAGGAAAGACCATGAAGCAGCTATGCTGAATCTGCCAGAGGAAATGGCTGCCTCAACCCTTTGAGGAAGGGCATTTTACAGAGCCTTGCTTTGAATACTTTGCATAGTCACAACAGGGAGCAATCTGAGGCATGGGTGGAGGAGACGTTTTTATGATTTGCTTTCCCCGGTTGCCTCCATGAAGTATCCAAAGATGCTAAAAGGTAGCAAGAAACAAACTTATCACTTTATTTAGACAAATAAATGGGTATTTTGTAATCCTCCACAGCTTCTATGGCAGGTGTTTAGTAGATACGAAACTCCGTAATGGCAGCCGCTGAATGGGACTACCTTCAACACATTCTCAGCAGTTCACACAACCCCCTCAAGGCTTCTAACCTTTGTGGTAAACTTTTCCTCTCCATAGTCACAGATTTCCAGACCTCAAAACCCTTTCTGTAATAAATGTCACCTGTTTTAGGGCTACCTGGCCTATGTAAGTTATATTTTAAGCTTACATTTGGTAGGAACCCGTGGTATTAAAAATCGATTTAGAATATCCTGAACCACTCTTAAAAGCTGAAAGATCTTTTAGAGCAGTGGTTCTCAACCTTCCTAATGCTGCGACCCTTTAATACCCTCATGTTGTGGTGACCCCCAACAATAAAATTATTCCTAAAACCATTGAAAATATGTGTTTTCCGATGGGCTTAGGCGACCCCTGTGAAAGGGTCATTCGACCCCCAAAGGGGTCCCGACCCACAGGTTGAGAACCACTGTTTTAGAGGAATGGCCTTAAATTACCTAGAAGTGACATAGGAGATACCAGGTTGGTAGGTAATATATATCAAGAGAAGGAGGAACCAAAAGATTTTTGAACCATGGGAAGGTTTCACATCCCCCATGCTATTCCACCATTAATGCATTAAGTATGTATGCATCGCATACCAATATGCTGCTCTCTCTCTCTCTTGCACACCCCCACAGGCTGGCAGGGAACCTGTTACACCAATACACCGTCATAGCTAGCTTGGCACCAGTTTGCAGCATTTGTGTGTGTGTGTGCGCGCACTTTTTCCACATCCATTTCTTTTTCCACGTTATGAGCGAGCCTTCTCACAACTTCTCTTGGAGCGGGGTGGCACAGAACCCGTTCCGCTTTCTTGCGTGACACGTTTCACGTGGCAGCCGGGGGCTGAGCGCGCACGCCTAGGCTCCAGCAAAGTGTGTGTATGTGTGTGTGGTGGGGGTGTTTTACTGCCTCGGTGCCCCCCTTTGGCAAGCGAGGGAGGCGGCGTCTGTCTGTGGCGGTGGCCGCTCAGGGAGGGAAAGAGGGCCGAGCGCGCCCTGACTGACAGCGGCACTGAGCGCCTCCCCCCCCACCCCTCCCCCGACGCCCAACACCGAGAGAAGGAAAAGAAGAAGCTGCTCCCGGGGAGTGTCTCCCTCGCCCGCCTGCGCCTCCTCCCTCATCATCACCTCCCTTCCCCCTTTCTCCCCCGTCCGCCCGCGCTTGCTGAGCTAAGTCGGGTCACTCTGGCGAGCGCCGCCTGGGCATGGCTCAACGTTGCCTGGTCTGCGGGGCCGAGGCAAGGCGAGCAGGTAAGGGCAGCGAGCGCCGGAGCCAAGCCAGGTTGGGGGGAGTGGGCGAGCAAGGAGAGAGACGCGGCTCTTGGGTGCCGGGATGAGAAAGGCGGGAGCGAGAAGGGAAGGAGGGAGGGAAGCAAGCAAGCGAGCAAGCGAGGAAGGAAGGAAGGAAGGAAGGAAGGAAGGAAGGAAGGGGCCCGGTCCTGCGATGCGCAGTCTTGATCTGAAGACCTCGCTGCAAGCTGACGGCCAGAGAAGAGCGCGCGTCCCGGGGCGCCTGGCAAGGGGCGCAGTTGTGCGGGAGCGGTTCGAGATCTGGCGGCTTGTAAATGACTGCACCGCTCCGTATTTAATCCAGGGTCGCGTTTTGGGAGGAGGGGCGGGAAGGGTGGGGGGGTGGGGAGTTGCGGATTGCCCTCCTGATCACCATCTTTGATGAGACCCCACCTTCCCCGGGTAGCTTTGGATGCAGTTTGGCCATCCTCGCTCGGCCAGGGCAGTCCCGTCCCGTTGCCCGGGGGGTGGGGGGGGGGGGTGGGGGTATGTAACCTCCTCTCCTCTCCTCCCTCCGAAGCCTATTTCCAAATAAAGGGGAACGACTGGACGTGGGTGTATGTATGTGTGTGTGTGTGTGTATGTAGAGGACACCTGTTGCTGATTTGCCTGCTTTCCCTTCCTCCCTTGCTGTGACCTGTGCTTCAACTGTGATTTGGAGGGAAAGGATAATAGAGGTTGCGGTTGCTTTTGTGCTTCCCTCTGCCCCTTTCGCAACGAAGTTGTGTGTGTGTGTGTTGATCTTCGATTGCGTTAGTTATAGGCCTTGGAGGAAGTGCTGGGCTGCCTTCTCTGTTCTCTTCATCCACCCTGTTGCAGGTGGCATGAATGACGTAGTTTGCGTTTAAAATCCCTTTGGGTTGGATCCTGCTTCTTCCTCCTGTCATGTGCAGCGTTAATTGTTGGTGTGAGCTCCCCCCCCATTTTTTCCCCTTTCTTTCTCATGTAGATATCAGGCTAGATATCAGATCATGTAGCTATCAGGCTGTGTATAGGGATTTGCTTCGACAGTGTGGGTTAAATGGACTGCATCCAGTTTGTCCTGTGGGCTGACCAAGCTTGAGAGAGAGCGAGAGAGAGATTGTATGAGATTCATATGTCTTCATGCTATAGGTACAGCTGACTTGAGATGATTGGAAGGGAGGATTGCGGCTGTCAAAAGCTCTTGTTGCTGTGTGATTAAAAAAAAAAGTGCTCCTCGCCACATTTTTAACATTTGGATGTGGCAGCTGGATGGACTTTGTTTTGAATGCCCAACTATAATGAGGCTATTGATGCTTTGGGGGAAAGGCGGCCCATCATGGAAAATAGATTTTTGTGTGTTATGGCAAAATTCATGGGGCTTGCAGATGGTTTGAGTTAGCAAAGAGTCGTTTCAGATGTCCAGAAGGGATTCAGAATGCAACCCCCCCCCCCAAATTATCCCATATGGATTTTGATTTTTTGTACATGTCTGCAGTAGGGTTCGACCCCAAAGAAGTATATTTTAAATGTATTAAGGATTAAACTGACATAAATGTCTATGTTAGCATACACTGTTAAATCAATTGCATAAAATTATGGTTCCCCTTTTTAAATAGTTTTATGGTTGGGTTTCCTGATCTTTCTGCTTTTACTGCAGACTGCAAATTTGATTGAAGTAGTAGTGTAAGAAAGACAACATCAGTCTTGCTGTTTTATTCAGTTTCCTGAGTCCAGATGTTCTGGGTCAAGAGCTGATGTTTGCTACCTCTCTCTCTCTTCCACCCCAGAACGCTTTTGGCGGAGGTGAGATTTTAATAAAGGAAAATAACTCTTAAATATTGTTTCACCAACCTCAGTTAAATTCCATATTTTTTAATGGTAAAGATGTCAAGTTACTGGTTACAGTTACAATTTAGCCTGGTTCTGTTGCTTGGCTGTTGTTGTTTATACCATGTATATTTTCCCATGTGTATTAAGCAATAGCTGACCAATGCTATACAATTTATCCCTTCATTGTATCTTAAGTGGTCTTGCTAATTAGGATTATTTTGGACCTGAAATTTCAATTCAGATAGTTCTTGATTTACAATCATTTGTTTAGTGACCATTTGAAATTACAGCAGCACTGAAAAAAGTGACTTATGACCATTTTTCACACATGTCCATTGCAGCATCCCCATGGTCATGCGATCACTTTTTACGACTTTCTGACAAACAAACTCAATGGGAAAGCCAGATTCATACATTACAACCGTGTTAGTAACTTAACAACTGCAGTGATTCACTGAACAACTGTGGGGAGAAGTGTCGTAAAATGGTGCAAAATTCACTTAAGTGAATTTTGTCTTGCTTAGTAAAGGAAATGTTGGGTTCAATTGTGGTTATAAGTTGAGGATTACCTGTATAGTGTTGTGCAGCTTTTAACACCAGTTAATGTTTGTGCCAACAAACTACCTGGTATCCTTCTTTCATCTCACGGAATTAAAATCATTGTTGTAGCATCTCAGTAATTACATGAATGCCAAATTCATTACTCCCTTTGCTCTTTGCATGAAGCAAATAGCTATTAATTAAGATTTATTTTAAGTTATTGTTCTATTTTGGCTCCTTTGATCTGAAATGTTTTTGACAAAGCAGGAGTTGGCACAGTTCGTACTGCCTCCATATAACCTGCATTCCACTCGCAGTCATGAATGTTAAAATCTTCTTAGTTCTTAAAACTAAAATTTGGATTCAGGAGTTAAGACTTTTAAGATACTTACAAATACAATAAAAGTTTTCTTTTGGGAGACATCATGAGTTGATAATGTCGCTGAGATTCTTTCTAGTGGTTATGACTTATTTGGGTCATAGTAATGCCTCATAGTGGCAACAAGGGTTTCTGTGTTCTCACTTTGTCATTAATACATTAGCCAAGAGATGGAAAAATCCATTTTCCAGACAGTTTGCTATCTTGTGCCAGGCCATTCTGGAGGCCAACAGAAAATGGTACAGGGAAAATAATTGATGAGGAAAGCAAGCAAATGCTGTTCAATTAGTATTATGTTTTATGCTTTAGCATTTGGATTTTCTCTTTTCTATATCTGCAATGAGCAACGAGAACCCAATGCTGAGTGAATGCAGTATTTATGTTTCTTTTCTATTATTTCATAACAAAATAATTTTACCATTTCATGTGTTTATTAGATTTTTACTTCATCTTTATATAAAAATAACCATAATAACAAAAACAATAGGTCAAATACATTAATTTTCTAACTTGAAATGCAAAATCTGCCACTTATTTTTTTTTACTCCTAAAATGAGCCATTCTTGATCAATTTGTTCAGCCTATTTATCTTTTGCTTGTTATTAAAAGTAGTTGTGGCACAACTAGATTTTCTCCTTGTCTAAAATAATACAATTTTGCATCATTTACATGGGAGGGAAATATAGATCAGAAAAGCTTCTTTATAATAGCAACTATGTTTCTGAGTGAAATCTCTTTTTTCTGTTTATACACTAATATATTTCTTGGGAATTGTCTTTGGCCTTGTTTTTATTTTTTTCTCTTTGCCAAATTTAATTGTACAGATTTCTCTGTGTTTAGGATACTGCTTTCCCATCATCACTGCTTTAATGTATAATATAATGTATAGGAATACTTGCGTATTTAGTGGCATGGAGAACTTTTTAAAAAGTGCTTTCTACTTTCATGTTCTCTTAGTATTTTATCACTTCACATCCCTCTTCTCCACCCAGCAATTCTCATTCTCCTATCTTTGTAAAGAAATAAATGATGGTGATGGAGAGAGACAGAAAACAGAGAGAGTGCGATTATATCTTGAAGCAAGCAACATATTTATCAACATAAGGGCAAGCTTATTTTTCTCCTCTGTTGTGTTAGTGCATCATATCTTTAAGTGGTATGATTCAAGTTTCTGTATTAGTATATAAATTTGGTTCATGCTTCCTTTGAGAACAGCAAAAAGTAAAAATAAAATTTCTGTAACTGTGTATATTCACATATAAGCCCATCTGCAGCTAAACCAAACCTCAAATTTTTAACCAAAATACCATGGAAAATGTGCAATCGGTGAATAACTTGACCCCTCAAAATTTTTGTGTGTTTTATTTTTCAGTTTATCCACAGGTGACACATTTTTCATGCTATTTTTCTTAAAAATGGGAGTGTCGGCTTATATCTGGGTATTTTAACACAATTATATATATGGGTATTTTAAAAATACTGTATATACTCGCAGAGAAGCCCCTCTGTGGACAAGCTGAACTCAATTTTGGGGGTGTATTTTGAAAGTTAAAATCCTTGGCTTATTCATGAGGATATATTGTATTTGCGTGGTAGCACAGTGGTTAGAACGCAGTATTGCAGGCTGACTCTGCCTTCCATTGCCAGGAGTTCGATCCTGACCAGCTCAAGGTTGACTAAGCCTTCCATCCTTCCAAGGGCAGTAAAATGAGGAGCCAGATTGTTGAGGGCAATATGCTGACTCTATAAACTATATAGGGCTCTAAAGCACTATGAAGTAGAATATTACTATTCTATAATTTGGTACATTTTTTGCATTTAGGCCATTTTAAATTATGATCATGATCTAAATAGGAGGAGAAAGGAATATGTATGTTCACTGCCTTGAATTATGTATAAAAACAGTAAAGTGGAATATTGAATGAATGAATTCAGTATCTATATTGCAGGGTATAGTCTGTATTACAAGTTGCTTGGAGTTAAACCAAATATTTGGCATTCAGAATAATACTCTGCATGGAGTTACGCTGCCCTAAGTGGGCAGATCCTCAAGATGAAACTCCTCTTGGATTTTCAGCTTGTGCTCAAAAATAGGTAAAGGGCATAGGTAGCTGGAAGGGACTTTGTACAATTCAGTTATGGCTATTTCTGAAATGGGAGGTTATAAGAACTTTCACTCATGTTTTTGACTCACACCAACATTACTGCATTCACTGTAGTTGTTTATATCCTTGAAGATCATTTGAAA